TGCTGCGATGAACATAGGTGTGCGTGTACCTTTTTGAATTAGTGATTTCATGTTCTTTGGATGAATACCCAGTAGTGGCGTAGCTGCATCATATCGTATTTCTATTTTTAATTTTTTGAGAAAGCTCCATCCTGTTTTCCATAGTGACTGCACCAGTTTGCAATCCCTCCAGCAGTGTATAAGGGTTTCCTTTTCTCTGCATCCTCTCCAACACTTATTTCTTGTCTTGTTAATTATAACTGTTTTGATGGGCATAAGGTGATATGTTATTGTAGTTTTGATTTGCATTTCCCTAATAATTAGTGATGTTGAACATCTTTTCATGTGCCTGTTGGCCGTCAGGATATCTTCTTTGGAAAAATATCTGTTCATATCCTCTTCCCATTTTTCTATTGGGTGTTTGTTTTTTTCTTGTTTACTTGTATGAGTTCTTCAGGTATTTTGAATATTAACCCTTTATTGGATATATGATTTGCAGATATCTTCTCCTAAGTGGTAGGTTGTCTTTTCATTTTGTGGATGGTTTCTTTTGCCATGCAGAGCCTTTTTAGTCTGATGTTGTCCTCCTTGTTTATTTTCTCTTTTGATTCCCATGCCTGAGGAGACATGATATTCAAAGTAATTTCTGTAAGATGTATGTCAAAGAGCATACTGCCTATGTTTTCTCCTAGAAGTTTTATGGTTTTGGGTCTTACATCCAATTTTTTAATCTATTTTGTGTTAATTTTTGTATATGGTGTAAGATAATGATCTACTTTCATTCTTTTGTGTGTGGCTGTCCAGTTTTCCCAACATCATTTATTGAAGAGACTTTCCTTTCTCTATTGTATGTTCTTCACTCCTTCATTGAAGATTAGCTGTCCATAGATGTGTGGTTTTATTTGGGGGCTTTCAGTTCTGTGCCATTGATCTGTGTGTCTGGTTTTCTGCCAGTACCATGCTGTTTTGATTACTGTAGCTTTGTAGTATATTTTGAATTCAGGGTGTGTGATACCTCCAACTTTGTTCTTTTTTCTCAGGATTGCTTTGGCTATTAGCAGTCTTCGTTGGTTCCGTGTAGATTTTAGCATTCTTTGTTCTATTTCCGTGAAGAATGTCATTGGGACTCTGAGATTGCATTGAATCTTTAGATTGGTTTATGTAATATGGACTTTTTAGCTATGTTAATTTTCTGTGTGTTTATTCTGTATGTTTATCACTTTGCTCAAAGGTTTGGATATCTTGTCTTTTTCTTCAGAAAGGAGGGCATCTTGCAACATTTTTTTTTAAGGCAAGTCTAGTGGCAAACTCTTTCAGCTAATGTATATCTGGGATAGCCATTATTTCTCCTTCATATGTGAAGAATAACCTTGCTGGAGAGAGTCTTCTTGGCTGACAGTGTTCATCTTTGAATATTTTGAATATATCATTGCACTCTTTTTTATTACCCTGTAGAGTTTCTGCTGAGAAATCCACTGGTGACCTTATGGGGCTTCCTTTCTGAGTTATTTTCTTTTCTATGGCCACCTTTAATATTCTTTCTTTGTCATTGACTTTTGATCCTTTTCGTATAATGTGTCTTGGAGAAGGTCTTTTAGCATTGAGACAATTTAGTGTTCCCTTAGCTTCGTGTCCTTGTATATCCAGTTCCTTCCCCAGGTTTGCAAAGTTCTCAGCTCTTATTTCTTTAAATAAACTCTCTACTCCTTTCTCCCTCTCTTCTCCTTTTGGGATACCCATTATCCTTATTTTGCTTTTCCCAATTGAGTCAAATATTTCTCATACAATCACTCCGTATTTTAAAAAATCTTAGTTTTCTGTCCTCTTCTACCTGAAACTCTTCTAGATTTCTATCTTTGAGCTCAGTAATTATCTCTTCCATGTGGTCTGCTCTATTTCCAATGCTTTCTACTTTATTAATCTCATTTATTGTGTTCTTCAGCTGCAAAATTTCTGAGTTTGGTTTGGTTTTGTTTTTTAAGAGTTTCAGTCTCTTTGAAGTTAATTTTGTTGATTAATTTTATTCGTGTGCTCAGTGAGCTGTCTTTCTGAGTTTCCTTGTAACCTATTGAGTGTCTTCATGATAGCTGATTTGAATTCTCTGTTAGTTCACAGTCTTCTGTGACTACAAGTTTGGTTCCTGGAGAAATGTTATTTTTTTTTATGGTACCAAGTTTCTGTAGTTTTTCACGATGCTTGATGAGTTGTTCCTCTACTGTTGCATTTGGGTAGCAAACACCTTTCTTACTTGGATAAGGCTTTGCTTATTTGGATTCTGAGCTACTCCTGGTTGTGTTTGAGAGCCTTAGCTTTCCACCCTCCACCGTCTGTCAGAGGAGTTGTCACTGTCCTCCTTGTTCTCTTTGTGCCTCTGAGGTTGCTGGTACCTTGTGGCTTATGACCCTGCAGCAGTTGTGGGTGTCACCCCGAGGTCACCGAGCTGCAAGAACCTCTGTCTGCTGCCTGTGGAATTGCCTAGGTAATGGGTTCCACCACTGGGGTGGGGTAGAGTGGGGTGGGGGCCAGAGTCATGGGAATCTCTGTGACATACGGGTGCCTCCAGGCACCAGGCTATGGATGAGGGGGCTGAAGTTGCAGGCATTTCTAAAGCTGGAAGGCATCGGGCTCACGCATCCTGTTGTTGCTATTGCCTGGCTCTCCACAGGCTCTCCCTGGGCTCATGCGCTGCTGCTGTGTGCCTTCTGCACTGTTGCTCCTGGGTTATCTGAGGGTGCTGGCAATGTGCTTCTAGGGATGCTTGGTTTGTGGGTTTTGCTGCTGCTGCTGAGTGGGCCCGGGTTATAGGTGGCACTGCCTTTGTCACAGCCACAAGGGGAGGGTTACCTAGGTCATGAGCATTGTTGTGGCTTCCTAAACCTCTGGTTTCTAGTGCCTATGCAGTTCGTGGAAGCTCAGGTCGCTGGCACGGCCACTGCTGCCTGGGGCCTAGGGTATTGTATGCAACACTCATTGCTGACAGGGCTGTTGTTGGGGGTTCTGCTGTTGGGGTCTGAGTCACAGGCACCACTGCAGCTCTTGCAGCCTCTGGTCTCAGGTGCTGGTGAGAATCCTGGAATCTCAGGTTATGGGCTACACCACTGCTGCTGGCAGGACCAGTGTCGGAAGGTGCTGCCATCAGGGTCGGTGGAGGGGGCTCATTTTCAGGTATCATTGAAATTCTTGGAGCCTCTGGTGGTGGGCCTGCAGTGCCTCTGGAGCATGGGCTGCCTGAATTCCTGGGGCTTCTATTCATAAGTGTTATATCCATTCCTGGGGCCTCTAGTTGCCAGTGTGGCCATAGTTCCTGGAACTTCTGGCCTTGGGACCTGCCACCACTGCTTCCCTGGTTCCACCACATCTAAGAAATCCAGTCAACCCACTTTCAGATGTATAGATGTATGGATCTCTCAGGCATTCTAGTGTACTGTGCAGAGAGTCCTTTGTTGGTCTATGGATTTCCTACTGGTGGTTATTTTGAGGGAAGAGACGAAGGGAACAACTCACTCTGCCATGACACTGACATTTCTCCAAAGGTTGTTGATTCTTAAGAAGTTAACCTTCAAATACAGATTGTTAAAAGGCAATTAAACATGAAGAAAGGAATAAATATAAAAGCCATGTGGCTAGGAAATAGAACTGATAAGTAAAATGAAAAGGTGGTTTGAAAAGATGCATAAAATAGACAAATGTGGAGCAAAGTATGATATGGCACTGCCCCTTTCCCAAGGCAAGGCGAGAGCACAGACTTGTTGATTAGAATGTTTCCAGCCCAGACCTGTGGGGCCTTCCTAGTACTTTAACATATTCTGAGTTCTTTTGTAAAAACATTGATGTACTTTTTCTAATTTTTTAGTGTCAGATGTGGAAGACCTAATGATTATTTCTCTTTTCTTCCATTTTCTTATTCAGGAACCAAAAGAATATGTGCTTTCTGTGTGTGTGTGTGTGTGTGTGTGTGTGTGTGTGTGTTTGTAGGTGTGAGACAACCTTTATTTTCTCATCTGCTTGATTTTTTTTTTTCCCATATCACTTATGAATTGGTATGTCAGTTATTACTTAGTGTCTGTTCTTCAGTAAGAGTGTTGGATCTTTAATGCCTAGGACATTTTCTGTATAAGTTACTGCTCTCAACTAAGTGCCTAGAACAGGGACATAAATTCTTCATTATTTATTGTGAGAATAAAAATTGAATAAGGCAGCAATAAAAACTTAAAAGGAAGCCCAGAGCTTCAAACTTCTCCAGTATCCATCAAAGGAAGCTCAAGAACGTAGACCAAATAAAATACATTTTTCTTTCTTTTATATGCCCAGTAGCAGTCTTGACCAGTGCTGTCTGGTGGAATTGTAGATCATGCATATAGTGAAAATACTTACTTAAGCATGTAAGTCATATAAAAATATGGTGATAGTGTACATTATTTTGTACATTCAAAGCATTCTAAATTCACTGCATACTAAATTTTTATCAGGTATACTTGATTTGTGTTCAGAAATCAGAAACTTTAAAGATGAAAGACTAGATTCCAGTACTCAAGTTGTTCCAAATATATAAGTGAGCTGTAAGATTCCAGTGAGTCTTCTGGTGCAGATGATCGTTGGTAAATGGCATTTGATGTTACTGGCAGTAGCAGTTACAAGTAGCAGTTGTGCTACTTGTCTGTCTAGGAGAAGCCTGAGTGGGCCAGAGAATGCTGTTCTCTCTGTCAGCTTCCTGGTATATATTCGTTAGGTAGAGTGGCTGCATAATCTCATTCATCAATTTTATTGCCTTGACAAATGAAGAGGCATATTAGTGAAAGCCTAAGTTTCCATCCCTGTAAAATGAAAGAATTTTGTTTTTCCTGACAGCACGACTCACAATCCCCTTTGTGCCTTCAGGTGAGATAGGACTACTCTGACATTTGATGGCAGTAGTGTGTATTTGTATGAGATTTCTTGAGTGTGCAGGGATATTTGAGAATTTCCAGCTAGAATGGAACGACTTCCGGGCCTGTGAATGTGGGAATTATAGTCGTCTCTGAGTCCTCATGCCTTCTTTCTTTTCTCCTAGGTCTTCTGTCTGAGGACCCTTTCTGCCTTATTGAGGAAAAGATAGAGGCAGAAAGGATGGTGACTGAGTGTTTGACAAATTGTTCTCAGGTAATTAGAGAGTATATCTTTCTACAAAATGACATACCACATCCACTAGATAGACACCTTTCTTTCTAGGTACACCTGTCTCCAGGGCTTGTTAAGGGAAGTCAAGCCACTCAAGGACTGAGTCTCTGTTGAATTCCCACCCAAAGTGGAGCCTCTCATATTGGTTCATATAAGTAATCGCAGTATTTTGATAATTACCTTCTACTGTTGTTTCATGATAGCAACTGCATATTTTTTTTGTTTTGCTGCCTGCTGTCTCAGAGTAATGAAGATGAAAGTGTGCATTTTTCAAATAATTTATTTATTAATTGGCTTTTTCAAGTTTCTCTGATTTGCTTAGTACTGTGCTGCCAGAGGGAATTAAGAGGAGAAGAGCATTTAGTCTAGTTGTGGTGAGGTAAGTTCATGCATTAGAGGTTCCATTAATGCCATAACTGGAGGATATCAACCGTGAGTGAGTTTAGATAGAAGATCAACTGAAACCAGCTTGTATGTGATGGTTTAGGACTTGGTTACCTTCACTGATGTGGCTGTGCACTTCACCCGAAAAGAGTGGACTTTACTGGACCCAACTCAGAAAAATCTATACAGAGATGTGATGCTGGAGAACTACAAGAACCTGACCACAGTAGGTAAGGCTGCACTGATTCCTGTAGCCCCTTATGCAACAGATATATGTGATATATTTACTGTGTTCCAGTATTGGTGATGTGAAATCTGCACGTAATGGAAACTAAGAGACATAATCTCTACCCTAATGGGTTTTGATCTAGTGTGGTTTCTGTAAAATTGTGGTCCTAGGAATAACATCATCCCCATCACTCTTAGAAATGTGTGTTTTCAAACCCCACTTTTGACGTAGTGAATGAAACTCTGGCATTATCCCCAGACATCTGTATTTTAATGAAAACAGTAGACAAGATCCTGATGGACAACAAGGTTTGACAACTACTAATGTAGTGCTTTCACCATAAGAATGAACATTTCTTTTTGCATTTACTTTATTTACTCTTTCAATAAAAGTCTTAATACTTTTTAATGTATGGGTTTCAGGGACCAGAGACAACCAGCTCTTTGATATACAGAAGGAGAGCGTATTTGCATTATTAACTCTTTTGAAATAATGTTTTCCATTCATTAGAAATTTATGAGTTGATTCATGGGAATATTTGTCATCTTTTACAGAGGACTTTTCCATTAATATGTCTTTTCCTCTGAACAGAGTATCAGTTGTTCAAACCCAATCTCATCTCTTGGTTGGAACAAGAAGAGTTGAGTACAGTAGAGAGAGGAGTCTTCCAAGGTGAGTGATTGTAAAGAACTTCCCTGGTCAGTGAAAATTTCAGTATGTTTGGAATGACAATGAGGAAACTTTAAGACATTGTTTCTCTTAAAAAGCTGAGGTCATTCGTCTCTGATGCTTTGGGGTATCATCGGCTTATGATACGTTCTTACTTTACCTTTACTTAAAATTTCCTGTGAACTCAGAAAAATCTTGTGTCTGTGTTCTGTTAATCATTTGGCATATGTTGTTTGTCTAGAACTTTCCTACATTTTTTCTCTGATAATATTCTGTCTCTTTTCCCCATCGTATTTAATTTTCATAGAATCATTTTAATCAACTACTGAATTTTTGACTATACATCCTTACCGTTGCAAGATTTTTGAAATTGCAAAACTTCTCTCATCTGTCTTGCCTTTTATTTAGTATGTTTAACTTAGAAATAATATAAATGAGCCTTACTAGTTTTAACCCTTTTGATGTACATTTCTTTCTGTAAATTCCTACGTATTTTCTTTTTTAATTTTAGAATGGGAAACTCCACTTAAAACCAAAAACTTAGCAATTCCACAGGATATTTTTTGGGAAAAAGCAGGCAATAGGATTGAAATGGTAAGTTTGAAAAGAGATATTTTTTATTTTCCACATTTAGAGAAGATTGGGATTTTCATCAGATAGAACATGTGCGCAAGTTCTAGATATTTGAGATGAGTGGTATTTGCCCGAGAGAGCAATGGTTTTGTAGAGATACTCTGAATGTGTTGAATTTGGGAATATTTTAAACCTAGCTTCAAAGTTGTTGCTTCAGAACTCCCGCAAGGACTCATTCCCACTTATATAACTTGCCATTGAGTTTTTAAACAATTCCATGAAATTGTACAGGAATCTTGTAAGATTGGAGTAGATGGCATTCCATCATTCAAGTTCAAAGAAATGAACAGGGTAGGAAATGTATGAATGTAATGGAAATGATAAAAATCATGATCATCATAATGAAGTTTTCTGCTTTGAGATGGGTAGGATAAATTAATGAATTTGAGAAATCTTTGAATTATCATTCATTTTTTCATCAACAGGAAAGAATACACAATGGGTGGGAACTCGATGATTCTGAGCAATGTGGGAAAGTCGTCAGTGAACATTCATGCCTGAAGACACACAGGAGAACTCAGAAGGGAGCCAATACCCATGAGGATAATCAGCATGGAAAACGCTTCCTTGCTCTGTACAAGAAAACCTCTACTGGAGAGAAACTTTCCATGTTTAATCAGTGGGGAAAGGCCATCAGCCCTACTTCAGATGCTGTGTACTGGCATGCTAGCATGCAAGAAGAAGCATTTGTTAATCAGTTTTCTCTTCAGGCCCAAACAAGACCTCACAATGGAGAAAAATTCTATGAATGTAAGGAATGTGGGAAGGCCTTCACTGAATCCTCAGGCCTTGTTCGCCACATAAAAACTCATACTGGAGAGAAGCCTTTTAAATGTGACATATGTGGGAAAGCCTTTGCTACTTCTTTGAAAGTGACTACCCATTTTAGAACTCACACTGGAGAGAAACCTTATAAATGCAAGGAATGTGGGAAAGGCTTTAAGTGTCTTGTGTACCTTAAATGTCACAAGCGAACTCACAGCGGAGAGAAACCCTATAAATGTAAGGAATGTGGGAAAGCCTTCATTCAATCCTCAGGCCTCAATAAGCACATAAAAACTCACAATGGAGAGAAGCCTTTTGAGTGTAATATATGTGAAAAAAGATTTGCAAGTTATTCGTACTTAATCGTTCATAGGTGTACTCACACTGAAGAGAAACCTTGTGAATGCAAAGAATGTGGGAAAGGCTTTCGGTGTTTTGTAGACCTTAACCGTCACAAGCGAACTCACACCGGGGAGAAACCCTATGAATGTAAGGAATGTGGGAAAGGCTTTGCTCAATCTTCAGGCCTTATTAACCACGTAAATATTCACACTGGAGAGAAGCCTTTTAAATGTGATACGTGTGGAAAAGCCTTTGCTGCTTCCTCAAATCTGAGTAACCATTTGAGAACTCACAGTAGGGAGAAGCCTTTTGAGTGTAATACATGTGAAAAAAGATTTGCAAGATCTTCACAGTTAATCATTGATGAGCGTACTCACACTGGAGAAAAACCCTATAAATGCAAGGAATGTGGGAAAGGCTTTAATTCTTTCGCAGGCCTTAACTGTCATGAGCGAGTTCACAGTGGAGAGAAACCCTATGAATGCAAGGAATGTGGGAAAGCGTTCCCTCAATCCTCAGGCCTTACTGTCCATATAACAACTCACAATGGAGTGAAGCCTTTTAAATGTGACAAATGTGGGAAAGCCTTTGCCACTTCCTCAAACCTGACTAACCATTTTAGAACTCACAGTGGAGAGAAGCATTTGGAGTGTAATATATGTACGAAAAGATTTACAAGTTCTTCATACTTAATCATTCACAAGCGTATTCACACTGGAGAGAAACCTTATAAATGCAAAGAATGTGGGAAAGGCTTTATTTGTTTTAGGTACCTTAAATGTCACAAGCGAACTCACACTGGAGAGAAACCCTATGAATGTAAGGAATGTGGGAAGGCCTTCACTCAATCCTCAAGCCTTGTTCACCACAGGAAAACTCATCAAAGAGAAGTTTTTTAAATGTGACACGTGGGAAAGCCTTTGCTGCTTCCTCAAAACTGACTAGCCATCTGAGAACTCACACTGGAGAGAAGCTTTTTGAGTGTGATGTATTTCAGAAAAGATTTACCACTTTTTCATATTTAATCATTCATAAGCATAGTCATACTAGAGAGAAACCCTATGAATGTAAGGATTGTGAGAAAGCCTTCACTCAATCCTCAGGTTTTATTGACCACATAAAAACTCACACTGGAAAGAAGCCTTTTAAATGTGACACATGTTGGGAATCCTTTAGTGCTTCCTCAGACCTTAAACATTTTAACATCTCTCACTACGTGGAAGCCTATTGAGTGTAATGTATGTTTATGTTAGAAAACAGTGACCAGTTCTTCATACATTATCATTCACAGGCTCACACTGGAGAGAAACTTATAAATGGAAGGAATTTGGAAAAGCTTTCAATTTTCCCACTTCCTTTAAGTATGGTTACAGAACTCATCTGAAGAGAAGTCCTTTCAGTGTAAGGAATGTGGTGAAGCCCTCAGTATCAGTTCACTTCAAAGATATGAAGGGACCACACTGCAGAGATGTTCTCCAAATGTAAGGAATGAGGCAAAGCCATCAGCATCTGCTCACAGAGGAGCATGTAAGGAGTGACAGTGAAGTCATGCTATTATGAAACATGGAAAGCCCTCTATTTCTTCAGTGAAATACGTATTTATTATATATAAGAGATTTCGCAGTGGGGAGAAATCCAACTGATAGAAGATGTGTAGGAAAATTGTTCTGCTAATGTTCACCTGTGATCTCACTGTGGAGAAAAACTTTATAAATGTAAAAGATGTTGTAAAGTCGTCATAATTTTCCATTGGATTTTTTCTCATCTGTAATAAAATTAGGGTGATTCAAAGGCAAGAGAAACTGAATATGGGAAGTGTGGGAAGTGCTATCCTGAATGTGAATCTCAGGGTCTTCTGAGATGCATAGCATTCTAGTTGGTTCTATAAATCTATTCTAAGACTTTGTGATTAGGCCTTGAGCATCCCTGTGCATGACGTGTTTTTCTTTCTAGTGATAGGGCAGTCTAGTTGCTACTCCTTGCATGTTACAGCCTGGTTAAAAGTGGGTCTGCAGAATTCACACTTAATCCTCTTGTAACCACCTGGATTCTGTTAATGGATTGAGATGGACTTACATTGTGAAGACAGCAGCTGCTTGACTGTGTACAGTGCTCACCAAACTCATTTACAGTGAGTCACACCAGCCAATGTGGTGGGGAAAATACATCTTCATAAATTGTGTAAAATTATCTTGTCCCTCTCACACCTAATCCTTTCAGATAAATCAGTTTCAAACATGGGATGAGTAAGGGGAAAAGTGAGATTACACCTACAATGTGTGACACCCTGTTTTCATGACCTTTCTGGTTGAACAAGTACCCTACCACCTGGGGAGGACCTTCAACCTCAAGCCTATACAGGATGATGGTGAGAATAATGAATGCTCTCTTTCACAGAATACGCAGCACCACAGCCTGGGAAAACAATATTTGTCTGAGTCAAGCAACAGCTGTTGCTGGTGAATCACCTTCTTCTGTGTTTGTCATTCTATCCATGGGCTGTGGAAAAAAAAAAGAACTCATGTGAATGTAGCTGGTCCAGAGAATCTGCTGTGCTTCATGCCCTCGCTGGGAGATCCTGAATGTGAACCTTGGGTGTAGACACAGACCAGCACAATATGGTTTCAGCCTCAATGATACATATTTACATAGTTTGGATGCTCAAGAAGCCTTGGGTTATATCAAGTATGGCCATTTGGTGTGCAGCTGCTTAATGACACTTTCTTGAGGCTTATTCAAAGCACTGTATGAATACCTAAATCAAGCTTAACAATAAATCCAGAGGAAGAATTCTCTGTGCACCTTTGTGTTACATGTTTGTGTGTGTGGCAGGGTATGTCATGTTGTGGTTCACTTTGGGTATGTATGTTGTTATTTACCCCATCTGTTGCCTCATTAATTACTGGCAACCACACCAAAGATAAGCAGATTAGTCTTAACCTTTTGTGTGCAGTGTAAGGGTCATAGATTGTCCTTAGATAATTTCCTTATTGTCTGAAAGAAGACCTACGGGACGTATGAGATTTTGCTACAGTTGCCTGAGTGTAGGACTTTGTTGGTGGTGTTTGAGGTCACTCCTGCAGATTGGCCACATTCTGCTCCTTGCACTGCTAGTGACAACATTCTCAATAATTGCTGTAGAAGTAAATAAAGCAGATTTGGTCCCAGCTTTTGTGGGTCAGTCGCTGACAAAGTGTATTTTCATGTGGACAGACTCTAAAAGGCAAGACGATGTGAGCTGTATATGCTCCAACACAGATGAGCCTTTGAAAATGTTCTAAGTGAAAAGAAGCCATTCATAAAAGATTGTATGATTTCATTTATATGAAGTCTCGAAAATCAAATCTATAGAGACAAAGATTGTGTTCACCAGCTATTAAGAGAGAAGGGAAATGGGGGATTTGACAGCCAAAGGGTGCTTTTGAAATGATGAAAAAGCTCCAAAATTATGATGGTTACCCAAATCTGTGCTTTTGCCAAACAACATTGAAGTGTATAGATCTAAATGGATGAATTGTATGGCACATGAATTGTATCTCAATAAAGTTCTTCCAACAAACGAGAAAATTATGACAGTTCCTACACCATGGCATAGTTATGAACATAACATACTGTCTGTGAAGCATCTAGCATGGTAAGATGCAGCAAACTTTAGTTAGCATTATGTTTTTGCCACTAATATTAAAACAGTATAAAACTATTATAATCAAAGGGTATACTGTGGACATAAATAAGTATATTACTGGATAGAAGAATCTAGATATGAACACAGGTGTATATATAGCAATATATTGTTTAATAAATGTGGAATTTCAAATCAATAGATCAAGGACAATTTATCCATAATTACTAGTACAACAATTGGCCACCCTTTGGAGGAAACAAAATTGGATCCACTACCCCACACCACATGTAAAAATACATTAGATGAGGATTAAAGATGTAAATGTCTTTAGAAGTGGTAAATTTAAGAAGACAATTATGAACTCTGTCTAATTTAGTGAAGAGTCATTTTAAGGCAAGGCAGGAAACCCAGAAATTATTTTATAGAACAGCCTCCTTTGAAACATAAACATTTAATATTTTGTAAAGCAACCAAACAAACGTTAACAGCAAAATAGTTATGAATTCAATAGACGCAGAACATACATTTGTTAATGTCCATAAACAATTCTTGGTAAAATGTATTAGTAAATCAGGATTTAAAAAGATTTTCATGAACTCTACCATGGCCACCCACAATTTCAGTGGGTGAAACTGAATCACAGCAAACTTGATTGGCAGAGAAACTTTAGACCCATTTGTAAGTGAAGAATTCCTGGTGGTGGTGCTATTTCACAGCAGAGTATGGGAAGCCCTGGATGATATGTAAGATTAGGAATAATTACTTGAAGAAGAAGAAAAAAATAAGATTATTCCAAAGTCATTTTAAAGGTAAAGGAAACAGTTTACCACAGTGTCCAATGTAAAGAAAATAAATAAGGGGAAATAAAGATCAAAGGATGTGATTGATAAAATGAAGGAAATCTATTTCATGGATTGGCAGGCATATCATTACTGGAGAATCCTTGTATGGGCTGTAGGAACTTGAGGTTAAAAGGGTAGAAAAGCTCTTGATGAAAATTCTCACCTTCAGCCACCACGTTGTGTATGTGCCCTGCCCTCTGCCTGTAGCTCTGCCTACAACCTTGGTTCTAGCCTCAACCTTGTCACCAGCTGTTTTCTGCCTTCAGCCTACACGCTGAGAAAGCTCAGGGCCCATCTGCACCCAAGCAGTTAACGAGAATTTCTCTTTTTTTTTTTGTTTTTTCTGCGAGGAAGATCAGCTCTGAGCTAACATCCATGCCAATCCTCTTTTTGATGAGGAAGACCGGCCCCGAGCTAACATCTATTGCCAATTCTCCTTTTTTCCCCCTTTTTCTCCCCAAAGCCCCAGTAGATAGCTGTATGTCATAGTTGCACATCCTTCTAGTTGCTGTATGTGGGATGCTGCCTCAGCATGGCAGGACAAGCGGTGCATCGGTGCGCACCCAGGATCCGAACCCAGGCCACCAGTAGCGAAGTGCATGCACTTGACTGCTAAGCCATGGGGCCAGCCCCTAGAATTTCTCAGTCTTAAGTGGTCTATCTTGGCTGACAGCCTGACCCTCAGAGCTCAGCCCCTCTGACCCCAGGTAGGAAGAGAAACTGGCTGACTTGTTCACCCGTGGTTTTCTCTGCCTGCTTCTGGTGTCTTGGCGACTTTCACCTTGGTGGTGGTCCAGCCCAGCCCGGCCTTGGTGAGGCCAGCTCGAAGGAGAGGGAGATTGAAGGAGGAGTCAAATGGCGTGTTTGGTCTCAGCTGCTGAGAGGCCCACTTAAAGAGTCCTGGCCTGTGTCCCTCGCTTCCACCATGACCCCAGGGCCTCCTAGCACCACAAGGTCCTGGTCTGGTCCCTTTTGGGCCCTCGTTCCCAGCTGAGATTTGTATTGGGAAATGCTGCAAGGGCCTGTGGGCAGGGTCTCTTCATCCGCTATGCTTCCCTCTTCAAAAGCCTCCAAAACAACCTTTGTGACTTGTCTTGAGAAAGAAAAGAACTTCTGCTGCTGGAGTGACATTGACTCAGCCCCCACATCATCCTGTCCTCATGATCTGGCAGTTCTGGCTGATTCTGGGGAGCACAGGGTGAATGTTGGTTCCAGAGGGTCTCTGTATCATTTTATGTGCAGAAGAATGTTTCATCTGGGAATTTTGTTTAGTCTTTGCACATCCTTCATTTATTTCTGACACATTCAGGTAGAAAAATATTTTGTTAGATATCTATGGTGTGCATACTTATGTATATAAATATAATCCTATGTAGACAACAAGAGTTCACTAAAGAAAAACAACAATACTCGCCTACCTTTATCTGAACTTCCTAGGCCTGTACATCGCCATAGGGCTTCAAAATAGGGTCCTTGGAGACTTCATTACACTAGTTCTAGAATAATTGAATTTACCATTCACAGGAAGTTTGGACTAAGTGTATTTTTTCCACATTCTTCTTTTGAAAGATCTCAAACCTAAGAAAATTTGAACATCCAGTACAATACGCAGACTTCCAGTTTTCTTCTGGCCTAGGAAGGTCACTGGGTTTCCTCCCTACCCCAGCCGCCTTTCCGTGCCCTCTGTTGCTGTAGCTCCTCCCCTCGCCACCCGGAGGCCGGAAACGGAAGTGCTTGACCCTGGCTGGTTCCCTTCTCTTGCCT